TCTCCTGCAGCCCCCCAATTGCCCCCTCTCCCCAAATGGCAGCCTGCGGCAAGTGCAGCCAGTCTGATGGCCGAGTGCTGTGATGTGCCCAGTGTGGGTAGTCCGGGCACTCCAAGCCAGGACTGCTTTGCAAGCGGGGCACCCCTGAGAACTCTCTGTCCGGGGTGGGGGTCGGGACCCTTTAAGCGCAGCCCTCGGCTAGCCTGAGACAGCATCTCCATGCTCTAAGTCCTCCTCTGATGCCCTGCCGGCACTGCTTCCGGCCATCCTTAAGCCTGGTTCAGCGTCCACTCTGAGTGGACATGCTAGTTCGAATTAGCAAAACGCTAATTCGAACTAGTTTTTTAATCTAGATCCGTTAGTTCAAATTAGCTAAGTTCAAATTAACTAATTCGAACTAAGTTAGTTTGAATTAACGTTGTAGTGTAGACGTACCCGGAGAGAGTTAGTATCTCACTCCTCTAGCATCACACAGCAAAGCTACAGAAATAGATTTATATCACAGCAGCTTTTAGCACTGTAAGGAGGAAGAGTCCTTGAAAGGTGTAGCAAAATTTGACAGCTGTGATATTAGTCAAGGAAGAATGCATGTGACGGATAACTAGCCAGAAATTTTGATGTCATGTCATTTCTGTATCTGAAGGAACAATGTCAAAAAGTTACATTTTAACACCGAAGAGAGTTGTTTATTCAATTCACAGTCTATGAATGCACCCAGAGAGGGAAGGGCTGGAGTAGGAAAGCAACAGACTGCTGGACAGATGCAAGACAAATACACTGCAAGTCTAAAGGCACCGATCTACAGTACAATCCTTAGAAGTCGCTATCACATGGAGATGCCATGGAGAAAACCAAGGTTGAACTTATTACAGCAGCACCGAGAGGTCCCAGCCCAGACTGGCAGCACACTGTGCTAAGAGGGGTCCACACACATAGGAGACAGTCCCTTCCCTAACCAGCTTACAAGTCGAATAGATAAGAGTGACAAGAAAGGACCTTCATCATAGTCCAAACTTGGTCAGTTTGCATTCCTCTGGTTTGCTTTGCTGTCAACGGCCTCCTTTAGGATATTCATTGCTTCCTCAACAACAAAAGAACTCTCCTCTCTGGACTGAAACTCATCCATCCTCTAGCGCTAGAGTTGTGTCCAGGGTAGCGCGTGCTTGTAAGCATACTAAGTATGGATGTGAAGGACTAGTCAACTATCCAATAAGCAAATGCTTAGCGGATAGTCGACAGGCTAGTTGACTAGTCACTTCCCTCCCCCTCCTTGCTTCTTCTATCAGAAAGAGGCAGCAACAGGGGTGATGAGCAGAGGGTGCTTCAAAGGGCCAGACCCCGGGCTCTACGCAGTGTGGCCATTTTGAAACGCCGCGTGCAGGCAAGGGCCAGGTGGCGTGTCCCCAGGCTGCACGTGGTGTTTCAAAGTGGCAGTGCCGCATGGAGCCCGGGATCAGTGAGGGACTCCCAGGCTCCACGCAGCGCTGCTGCTTTGAAATGCCACGTGCAGCCTGACGCCGGGCTCCCCACAGCATTTCAAAGCAGCAGCTTTGGGAGTCCCCAACTGATCCCAGGCTCCACGCGGTGCTTTTGCCTTTGAAGTGTAGCAACAGCCCTAGGGTTGCCTCTGGTTTCTCTTCCCCCTCCCTTCAGTCGATCACCAGATAATCTTATGCTTATTGGGTAATCAACTAGTCAACTACTCGCTAACATCCCTAAAGCATACAGCAATTAACACTGACACAACAGACTCCTTTAGATCCTTTTGAAAAGTCCAGCCACTTTTTCAACTTGCCTTGCAGTCAAACTCTGGAAGAAGAACCAAGACAGACGGCAGCCTAAGGGACAACCATTTAAAGGTCAGTGCTGCCTCACATCAGATTGGTGTAGGGCCCACCTGAAGGGAGCAGGGTATAGGATCCGGTATGTGGTGCAGTTTGGCTGCACTCCTGCATGGCACAGAGCTGCACGCGCAGACGCTCCCTGCTCACCAGCATGTGGGTTGTTTAGGGGCACAGGGGTAGGACAGAGCTGGATTTTCCAGACACAGCAGCACCCTGCTGAGACACTCCATTGCTGGTCTTAGACCTAGAAGAAAATTTCTAATCTTGTTCCCCCCTGCAGTCCCTTAGTCATGGGAGTTCCCTTCCCAACGCACAGCTGTTCGGGCTTCATGCTGCTGTCCAGCAATTGGATTTTAATAAATATGTGACTCATTCCCAATATTTACAGTTAATTCCTATAATTATCATCCATGCTTTCTACAGAGCCAGGTCTGAGCAGCAGCAAATCAGTGTTTCTCATTGAAGTAGTTCTTCCCCGTTGGTCGGCAGGACAGATTTATCCCTCTTTCCTTGATACAAACCCTACGCAGCTCCCCATCCCTTTAACATCTGTCCTGCTATTCCTCATGCTGGTGGCCCATTTACACACACACACCGAAGGATCTGTCTAACCATGTTTGGGTTCTAGTCTCCTCCATGTAGCCATTTCTATTGCAATGATTCTTTGACAACGCCTATCCACTAAAAAGCACTGCTGCAGCATCTCTCGTTATGAGGAACAATCTTAATCTGGAAATTTAATCTCAGAGGAATAATTAGCTGCATTTGTCTTCCAGGGGAGAAAAACAATGTGTTCCTTTGGGAGAGGAAAGCATTCAGCACAACAGGGTGTTACTCTGGAAAAATGTCGAGTGCTTATTTATATGCTAACCCCCTGGAGACAAGGGAGGGGGGTAACCTACATGCAGGCACAAAGCAATCTGAACTGCAGTGATGTGTTCTGTGTTAGGGAGAGAATCCTGCTGTCAGTATCACAGTCGGGACAGCTACTGCAGTCAAACGCTGGATGGAATCCCAGTTCTGGTGCAATCTATATAATGCTTGGCTGCCTCCTTGTCTGTTTGCTGAATAGTGAGCTGACCACAGGAATCACAGGTGCACAGTGCCTCTCAGGCACCGCCGGCGTGACCAACGCTTGTGATTTTGTCAGAGGGACTCACAATATTTGGGGTTCCACTTAAAATGCCCAGCTCCTCTTAGCTTTCTTTTTAAAAAAAATAGTTTCTAAGACCTCATGGTTGCAGAGAAAATCTTGAAAACACAACCAAAGTGCAACCCTACAGCAGGGATGTGGAATCTCCCCCGGGTTACTTCGATTCAGCATGTGTCAAATCTCTGCACCGTGGGCTGGAAACTTTAAGCATGGGCGCCCGCTTCTCCCCGTGGGGCTGGAGCAGGAGCTCTGGCTGGCCCTACTCCATTTGAACGTATGGGCATACAATGGATTTACATGTTGGCATTGTGATATTTTCTATCTTATTATCTATCCTTTTCATAATGGTTTATAACATTGTTGGGATTTTTTTTGACTGCTCCTGCACATTGAGCAGATGTTTTCAGAGAACTATCCACGAGGACTGCAAGATCTCGAGTGGTAACAGCTAATTTATATCCCAACATTTTTGTATGTCTAGTTGGGATTATATTTTCCATCGTGCACCACTTTCCATTTATCAGCATGTGTACATCTATGTGCATGATAATTCTGTTCTTTACTCTAGTTTTAACCAATATGTGCAGTACTGAAATGAGGCTTACTGGCCTGTAATTGCCTCTGGAGCCTTTTTTCAAAAAATTGGTGTTAAATTAGCTACCCTCCAGTCATCTGGTACAGAGGTTGATTCAAGCCATAGATTACATACCACAGTTAGTAGTTCAGGAGTTTCACATTTGAGTTCCTTAAGAGCTTTGAGGTCCTGGTGACTTATTACCATTTAATTTTTCAGTTTGTTCCAAAATCTCTTCTACTAACACCTCAATCTGGGACAGTTCCTCGGAAATGTCACCTAAAAGAAGGGCTCAGACCTGGGAATCTCCCTCTGCCATGAAAACCAACACAAAGAGTTCATTTAGCTTTTCTGCAATAGTTTTGTCTTCTCGGAGTGCTCCTCCATCCTCTGCTGGCTCTTATTTGGCAGGCAACCTATTTCTGATGGATTCAGAAGAATTTTTGCTCTTAGTTTTTGTGTCTGTTGCTAGTTGATCTTCAAATTCTTTTTCTGCCTTGCCCAAATTCATTTTTACTTACCCTTGTTTGTTCCCTACAGTAACATTAACTGTGTGAATGAAAAAAGGACAGCTACTGTTTAAGGGCCTGATCTAGAGCACAATGAAGTAAGAATCTTTCCACTGACGGCATGGGGTGCTGGCTCAGACTGTTTATATCCTCTTTGATTTGCAGTAATGACTCGTTTTTATTGGGAACAGTTTCATCCTTCACATTGTGTTTATACAATTCTCCAACATTATGTCATTGAAATTAACATAAGTACTGCACAGTGAAATAATCTCTCAAGTAATTCGAATCCAAAATGCGATTCACCATAAAACTGTTGTAATCTGATGGAAATATTCTCTGAACTTTAATTATCTACCCAAAAGAACTCGCTAAAATTTAAGGGACTACAGGTGCAGGCCCTCCAGTGTTTTGTGCTTCTGCAGACCCGACCTATAGAGTGTTGTCGATTGCAATTTTAAAGGATACCAATTAGCGCCAACAGCAGTGGATGTTAGCAGACACATGTCAGTGTTGTATGTAATACAAATAAAACACTAGTCACTTCCTCTAATCCAGGGGTGGGTAAAAGGGCCTCCGTGGGCCGGATCCGGCCTGTCAAGCGGGTTGATCCAGCCTGCGGAGGCCCTGCCGCTCCCCCATCCCCAGGTCAATTGGGGCCTGAGAGTGGGGGAACATGCAACTTTTCCTCCTGCCCTGTGAGCAGCACTCAGTGCTTTGAAGTGCCGCGCGCTGCTCATAGGGCGGGAGATGTCTTGCGCTTCCCCGCCCCCAAGCCCTGATTGGCCTGGGGGAGGGGGAAGCTGCGCGAAGCTTCCCTCGCCCTGCTCCCGCCCTGCGCGAGTGGACGGCACTTTGAAGTGCCGTGCGCGCCTCACAGGGCAAGGGGGAGGGCAGAGGAAACTTCACAGAGTGGAGGCAAGGGGAAAGGCTTCAGCAGCTCATGGCAACCCAAGCGTGGAAATTGCATTTAATCAGCTAATCGAGTAGTCAATGGAATTTCCATCGACTACTCGATTCATTGATAAGGGGGGGAAACTGCAAAGCTGCAGCAGCGTTAGCTCCCAGTCCTGCTGTGGCTCTGCCTTTTAAATGGAGTAAGAGCCAGCTCTTTATGTTTAAAAAGTAGAGCCGCAGCATCTGGGATCCGGTGCAAGCCGGGACAGCTGAGTCCTGGCTCATGCCTGATCCCCCACTTCACCTCTGCCTCCCCTTTCCTCTTACAGAGACAGTGCTGGGGGGAACCAGCTTTTAAGCCAACTCCCCGCCCCCAGGACTGGCTCCTGCTCCCTTCTCCTTGTTGCCTCTGATAGAGGCAGCAAGGGGGGTAGACGTGACTAGTCGAATACTGGTAGTGACTAGCCTAGAGATATGCCTAGGCTTATCGGGTTGTTGACTAGTCACTTATATCCTTATACGGGGGAGGAAGCACGGCCTTTCCCCTCCACCATCCCTCTGCCAGAGCCTTTTCCTAAGGCCCAGAGTCTTTCCCTGCAGTGGGTAAAGGCCTCTAGCAGTGGGGAGATGTCAGAGCCTTTTCCTCTTGCTGGAATCTTTCAGTGGTAAGGAAAAACTCCAGCAGTGAGCGGCATTGGAATACTACATGGCTACATAATAACAGCATAAACAGATGCAAGTAGAGAGCCAGGCAGGGTATGTACTCAAGTATATAGCCACACCATTCAGCTGTTCTTTTATCACCTAAGCTGTGCCTCACAGTCTATCACGCTTTTTATACCCACACACAAAAGCGTTAATGTGCATCACACCCCTGTCTTTTCTCGATGCAGCAGGGCTGCTAAGTCACCCACATCTGATGGCTATTTCACATCCTTCCAACCCACATCTGATGGCCCTTTCACACCCTTCCAGCACACAAATCTTTCCGCCTGCCTCTACAATTGTGTATTTGTTCAGATGCTTCCCCACTCGGTAGGGAGGATTCCATCCTCTATTCCCACCTACACCCCTTGCATAAAACTTGTTCATTCAGACTTTGCACACAGCTGAGAATTTCATCCATGACATTTCAGTTGTGAAACCCACTTCCCAGGTATGCACACTCCACGCTGCCAAACGACATATACAGTGGGGACACAGTCTCAGATAGCGAGACCTGCAAAGCAGTGATCGTCTCTTTTCTACATTTGTACAGCTCCCTGCCCCCAACACAATGAATCATGACTTGGATTGGAGCCTTTAGATGTTACCATAATAAACATTGAGAACTACTGCTGCTGCTTAAATACTGAGAAAATATTAGTGCATCTTGAAAGTGACACAACCACCTCATTCACTAAGAGAACCAATGGGTCTGCGGATAAGGGCTGGACTGATACTTAAGAGCTGTGAGTTACATTCTCCACTCTGCATTACAGCCTTCCTGTGTGACCCTGGGCAATTCATTTCTCTTTTTTTCTGCCTACGTTCCCCATCTATAAATGGGTGTAATGATACTTCCTTATTGTCTATCTTGTCCATTTAAGTTGTAAGTTCTTCAAACAGGGACAGTCTATTATTAATTATTATTATTATTAAATTATAATGAATTGTGGAATCATGTAGGAGTCTCACTCACAAACCAGGACCCCGCTGTGTTCGGTGCACTACAATCAGAACAAAAAGGTTGTGCCTACCCCAACCAGTTTACAATATATGTCCAATGCCTAGTACAATCGGCCCCAATCTTGGTCAGGTCCTAAATATACTGTCAAGCAAACAAACAATAATTCCCTAAGGTACGTAACTTGCTTTCACTGAAATCAATCACAGAACTTCTATTGACTTCCGTGGAAGCATGGGCAAATGGACGCAATACAAATGTAACAGGCGTGTTTTTTAAAAACACCCTGTTCTGGAAACCCTTTTTAGCTCTGTTTCAATGGATACTGTGCCACAGAGCTGTTACCACTAGTCCATATTTAACTGTCTGCTCCAGGGAGTTGTTCTTAAACAGTCTGCAGATCAGGCCTCCCTGATATAACAAGTTATAGGAAGATTTAAAAACAAAACAAAACACAGCATAACACTATGGGTTTCTATTGCACAAGGGAAAACAAAAATCAATGTTTGCTAAATGAAATAAGAACAAAGTTGGAAGGATATAGCAAAAGGATACTGCAGACAGATGGAAAATGGTTAATTGCTCATAAATATTAATCAACAGTGTCCATTCTTTACTGCAACCTGGTTTAAAAAAAAAGAGCCAAGGCACTTACTTCAGCAAATGACGTGCCACGGAAGGGTGAGCTGTGAGTTGGCCACAGTACATTTCTGTGGAGGACCACTGCATTATAGCCTGATGCATTCGGTATTGCACAGTCAGCATCTTCACTATGCTCTCGCCATATTTCTGAATCAGACGCTCCATTAGGCTGAGAGAAAGACCCTGTGCTGCAGCCCTGCACCAGAAGAACAATTAAGACAAACAATAGGAGAGAAGAACAAGCCCATTAAAGAGATAGTCTAAAGGTTGCTAAAGGGGTGCCATCAACTTAGTCATCATATTGCTGTCTAACTTTCAAAACCATGATCACCATTAGAACCTCTAGAACCCAGAGACCCAGTCCAAATACTAACATTGTATAGATTTGTTTTGTACTCACCACTGATTCCGCTTTGTAGCAAACAATAGGAGAGAAGAACAAGCCCATTAAAGAGATAGTCTAAAGGTTGCTAAAGGGGTGCCATCAACTTAGTCATCATATTGCTGTCTAACTTTCAAAACCATGATCACCATTAGAACCTCTAGAACCCAGAGACCCAGTCCAAATACTAACATTGTATAGATTTGTTTTGTACTCACCACTGATTCCGCTTTGTAGGTTTCCATTAACTCACAAACATCCCACTCTCCCTACCTCTAATATCATCAATTCACAGACACTTACCTTCCCCTTCTGTTCTGCAATGTGATTTGTCCTTTTCATATTTGTTCTTTTTTTTAATTGTATCCTTTGGTATATATGGTTGTGACTACTTTCTTCCACTATTTGATCTGAGGAAGTGGGTCTGGCCCACGAAAGCTCATCATCTAATAAACCATCTTGTTAGTCTTTAAAGTGCTACATTGTCCTGCATTTTGCTTCATAATTCCACATGGTTCTATGACTAAGTGTCTGCCTCTCTGCTGCAATGCATTCTGACCTTGCAGCACTCTCTCAGAAACTGTCTAGGGCAGTGTTTCTTAAACATTTTAAGAATAGAGCACAGTGACTCTTTTTAATGTAATGCAAACTAAGGTTTTATTTTAAAAAAATGCAGATATGACCTAAATTACTGTTGTTAAAATTGTGACATTTATATTTATATTTATATTTATTTGTAAGAAAAAAGGTGCCAGTACTCCAGGCTCAACATTGTTGAGCAAAAAAACCAAATAAAACCCCAAAAGCGGTCGCAACCCCTTTAATTGCTGCATGTCCCAAGCAGGCTTCCATGAAAAGCAGAAAAATTTCCTTACTTAGAAAATACCCTAGGAACACCTATGACAATATTACCCCCCAGCCTCCCACACACACACACAAAGAAGTAACAAAAACTAAGAAGTGGTAGCAGCACACCTGCGAGTAGTTCTCGGAACACCAGTGTTCTGCGGAACATAGTTTAATGGTCTAGGGTTACTGTATTTGGCACAGGGACTTTATGCCTTGTGCTTCTACAGTGCCTAGTGCCATGGGCTTCTGGCCCATAACAGGTCTTCCAGATGCTACGACAGCCACTGTTGTTGTAATTTAGCAGTGTTAACTCCATAAGCCATTGCCTGAGCTGTTTAAACTCCTAAGGAGTGTGCAATCCAAAAAGGGAAAAGATCGTTTAGAAAACATTGCACTAAATGAAACAATAATGCCATGTCCTCTTTCGTAGCAGTCTGATCCTCTTATGTAAACCTTGCAATTTCTAACATAAAATGAGAGAGAGCAGATTAATTTTGCTGATTTAACCTCCTGCAAAGGAGAAGACTCAGGGAGACTTCCTTGATGAGGAAAGGGTCTACAGTGAAATATGAACAGATCATCCTTCTGGCCTTCTCACATATTTATTCCTTTATCAGAAGAACCCTCCTTGAAACTAAAAGGGTCACATATGTAAGTCAAAACCTTTGCATGAGCAATGCAAGCAATGGACAGAGGTTCTGTTGCCAGGTGTTCATTTAGGAACAAATGGAATGATTGGGCCCAATTACTCTTCCCTTCTGGTAGCAGAAATGAATGGAGAAGTAGTCACTGCCTGAGCCCTCATCTTCCCCTCTGCCCTGCTGCAGTCCTGAAAATTGTTAGCTCAGCCCTGAAGCAAGCAGGAAGAGAAGCAGTAGTGACTGAACAATAAACACAGAAGAAAACCTGTGGTGAGTGATGCACGGAAAGCAGAATCAAGGTGGGTAGACTGATTTCAGTAGACTCCACTATTGATTGCTTTGGGCCTAACGATAGTTGGGCCAATTAACTCTGAGTGAGAAGTAAAAGGCATAATTATCACCTGGGAGAAGTGTGATAATCCCCTCCCCCCACCCGCTGGGGTCATTTGAATCAAGTCATTCATTGTCTACAGAGTGTTGGGTTTAATTGTGATATATGTCAGAGCTTGGCTACCCTTGAAAATGTACGGAAATAGTTAGTGCAGGATAATTATTTCAGCATAATAAGCACCTGCTGTGTGGATACTCTTATTTGGGAATGAGACTGCCCAGCCTAGTTGTTCTGGAACAGTTATTCTGGCCCCGAAGAGCTAATTTGGTTAACTGCAGCCAAACCCTTACAACTGGTGGTGTCCAACCAGTTCTGAAGCTGTCGCCACTACAATGGCTACTTCTATAGTGAACTAGCCACACACAACCAGTCAAATAGCCACCTCGTTCAAGCCAAATAGCCCAGGCCTGGGCAATATACATCCTGCAGGCTGCATCTAGGCCACCAAGCCACTGGATCTGGCCTGCAGATGCTGTGGAGAGCCCCAGGCAGGCCCCTGCTTGCTTCGCCCTCCCGCATGCTGCTCAGAAACATGGCTGTGGGGCAGTTTCACTTTAAAAACTGAGCCCAAAGGGGAGGAGGGAAGGCTTTAGGATCTGCTCTGCCCTCAGCTTAATCCCACCAGACAGCTTCTGGCCACATACTGGCCCATGGGAGCTGCTTGATTCAGTAACAGGCAGCCACGGAGCACAAGGGGCTCCTAGTTATTCACAGAGCACATGGCTGCAGCCTGTGAGGGGATGGGGCAGGTAGGGAGGCTAATTCAGGAACGGGCTGCTGGCTGGTAAGTCTCCTGTCCAGAGTTTGCCTCTGGCACTCCAGCCCCTTCCATCCCCAACCCTCTGCCCCCCCTGCTCCACATACCCAAATCCTCTGCCCCACTCCTGCTCCCATGCCCCCTCCCAGATCTGGCACACCAGTCTCCTGCCCCAGATAAGTCCCCTCCTGCCCTTGTTCGCAACCCAAGCCCCTGCATCTCTTCTGTATCCCAATTCCCTGCCATAGGTCACAATCCAACCCCATGTACCCCAGTCTAGTGCCCCAGGTCACAACTGCCTCCTCCTCCCAAACTCCCTCCCTTACCCCAAGCTCAGTTCTGCACCTCCCTGCTCCATCCCAGACTCCACATCTCTTCCATTAATATCATGGAAGAGTGTGGCCCTCAACCACTTTCCAAATTCTTGAGAGGTCCCCCCCCTGTCAAAAATTATTGCCCACCCCTGAACTAACCACATTCATCTGGCCAAATTGCCACATGTGGATGGTTGCTAGCGTGTTGGACACCACGGATCTACACACAGTGATTTTAGTGCTCATGAAGTGCCTGATTCTGACTGACACAAAGGCCCTTTGCCTTGCTCTGGCAGGGTCAAGGAGTTGTAGTGTCAATTAGAATAAGGCCTCAGAGTCTGCAGTTTATCCACCTAACAAGCCTAGCAATAAGAATTCAAGCTTTTCCACTTGGATGAGCCAATCTACTCCATCTTACCCTTGGCAGAGTCATCTCCGGAAGTGACAGGCTGCTTTGTTCCATTCACATTCAGTTCTTACAGTCTCTCATGGCTCTAATGACAAAGGCAATCAGCAGTACTAACTGTGAAGTGAATACCTAGAAACTGGACTGCAGCCAACTTACTTCACACCAGCCACCAGAGAGCCATCAGCTAGGAGTAACTTTTGAGCTTGTTACCAACACCCTTGGCCTCCCAGCCCTCTGAATATCTGCCAATGCTAATGAAAAACAATCCACTTATTAAGACATGGGCACTAGGTTTATGTTAGGCAAGCAGCTGGCTGCATTTGTTAGGTCAGGCAAATGAAGAGTGAGTCACATTGGTTCAGGAGATCTGGCACTCTGCTCCAGCTGAGCGATCATATGAATGTCCATCAAGCCCAGTGTCATCTCTTCCAACAGTGGCCAGTGCCAGGCGCCCCAGAGGGAATGAACAGAACAGGTAACCATAAAGGGTACATCTAGACTACAGAGTTTTGTTGACAGATTCTGTCGACAAAGCTTCTGTCGACAAAGAGCGTCTATACTACATTCAGTTCTGTCGACAAAGCAAGCTGTCGACAGAAGGCGTTATGCCTCGTAAAATGAGGTTTACCAGCGTCGACAAAACTGCTGAGTTCTGTCGACGTTATGTCGACAGAACTCAGCGGTAGTGTAGACGCAGGTATAGAGGCATTAAGATTTATATAGAGGCATTAAGATATTCTCTGTATTATTCTGTCCCTTTTTTAACAATTCCTAACATTCTGTATCCCTTTTTAATGATTCTTAACATAGTTTGCTTTTTTGACTGCCGCTGCACATTGAGTGGATATTTTCAGAGAATTATCCACAAAGATCTCTCTCTCAAGTAGTAATAGCTAATTTAGTCACCATAAGTTCGTACATACACTTAGGATTTCGCAATATGCATTACTTTGCATTTATCAACATTTAAATTCATCTCACTGGATGCAACAAATTAACAGATTAGAGTCTTTCCAAACAAAAAGGAGCTTTTCCCCTCACTCAGTTGAAAAATTCCTTACAAATCTAATAAGCAAACCAAGGATCACATTTAAAGACGACCCCATGGTGTATTTGCAATAAAAGCTCTCCCTTTAATACCAGGAAAGAAATGTTCTACAGCTTTACTTTTAAAGACCTCTCATAAAATGTGAGCGAAGTATCAGAACTTGCCCTATGCTCTGAAATACAATCCCTCTCGTTATATTAAAAGCTGTTTCCGAGGTCCTGTAACTCCACTGGGGAGCCAGAATTGGGCTGCAAGGGCAGAACTGCAGGGATGGAGAAATTCAAGCTTGTGAAAATGAGTCTGTAGGGAGGGGTATAACTGTAGCCAGGGTAGCTGGCCTGTGTGCTTCTGGGGTGTATATATTCCATGTGCCTGTGTCTGTGCCTGGGGATTGGGGTGATGAAT